ATTTTTATTATTCAGTATTTTGTTCCAATTGGACTATCTCATTCATCAGCTCATGTGCCCTTTGATGGACTTCCCCATGGACACAGAGGCCACTGGGTCCCTGCTAAAAAAGCAGCTGAGGAGGTAGGGAGGCTGTGTGCATTTTAAAAATGTGAATTAAAATGGTGGCCTGAATCCAAGTAAGCCTGTACCACTCTCTGTCCTCTGAATGCTATCTAGAGAGCAATGGCACAGAAAGATCACTTTTAAACTTAGTCTTCATAGCTTCTTTGTCACAGCCACATTAAAAAAGCAGATTTCTGAGGGTTTTTTTTTCTGAATCAGAAAGAAAAAAAAAAAAGTTGTATCCAGTCTTTTTCAGACCTCTTTACAAAGCATTCTAACCACCCATACAAATTAAACTCAGAATTGCCTAGAAGCTTTTCATCCTTTGTGTTCATAAACTAGCAATCTTGACCTCCAGATTTTAATTTACTTTACTGAAATATTTATTTCCTTCAATAAATGAAGCATTCCAGATTTGACTCTCTCTGCAACAAAGAACAGCCAGAGAGCATGACCATCAATATACCAATTTTATTTACTGCAATCTCTTTATATAAACCATGAAGGTATAAAACTGACTACCGGAAAAGTCACAGAAGGTAATAGCAAATTCATTTCTAAAGCTTCAGCTCATCAAGTTAATGATTAATTAATTTATTAAAACAGAGATGAAAGTCCAGGAGCAAAGTTCCCAAATAAGACAGACTGATTTTATTTGTTCTTAATCCAGTCTCATTCAGATATAATAGTACCTATTACCACAACCAGAAGCTTTTTAATACCTTGCATAGGCCTGCTAAGAGTAAAGACAGCAAAAGTAATGGATTGACTCCTAGAAACAGCTGTTTATAAAATGGAGACTTTTGCATAAAAGGCTAGGTGTGGCCAAGGAGAGAACAAGAAGTATCTGCACCAAAGCCATTGCTCTGTTGTTATTCAGTATGTAACAGAGCACAGAGTGGGGATATCAGCCACCTCGCTGTGCCACACTGGGATTGTTTTACTACATGCCTAAATAATTTCATGAACCATGAAAAAAAGATCACCCTCTTGCCTAAACTCTTCCAAAAAACCTATCCATTATTCATAATTATCTTCCAATGCTTCTCCCATTTGCCATGTACAGAGTCCTGTCAATCTTTTTGCTGGACTTCACTGACTGTGGTATTTCACACTCGCCCCCCTGAGTAGAGGGATCAGGAGACGCATGATAAGCAGGATTTGCAAATGGTATTATAAAACAAGCATGCAAAAGGGCTGAATCATCCTAGCTTTAAAACAAGGTTTTTAAGTTGGCAGGTGCCATTAAGGAGGACAAGATGCAGTGCTCAGATGTCACTCATCTTTACAGTCTCCTGTCAATGACCTTTGCAAAGGGCAAATCAATACTAAGCACATACTGTATCTACTATTTCTTACTGTGTAGGAAAGGTCAGCTCATTTTCATGTATGTATCAGTTCCAACATTACTGTTTTCAGACACAGAACGGCTTAAAGCTGGGAATCAATAAAAAAAATTCTTATCTTACATATAGCAGCATTTCAAAATATGTGATAACTTAAAAAACAAGCCTTGGAATGAAAACATTTCATAAGGAAGGAATGTTGAGCTCTACCTTGCTATCATGATATTCTCTACAAATAAGTGCAAATGAAATTATAAACAACATTTATGGGACTACTTCCTTAGCAAAATCTAGTCCACCTGTATGTTTTACCACAGAAAAAAAAATATTTTTAAAATACTAAGACATTTACTGTCATTTTATGCATGCCTGCTGCACCTTTTTTTGTTTGTAGGCATAGGCCACAGAGATTATTCTCCTCTTAGATGGCATATTTTGAGAAGGGCCTTTATAAAAATGCATGTTTTGGTTCTGTATTTAAACTTGATCCCATTTAGCTCAATGCCCAATCCTTTTAGCTTCAGCAACAAAATTTTGTAATACACATATTGCCACAATCTAGGAGATGCTTAGTACTGAAATCACAGCTGAAATTTCAGGGCTTTTGGAAATATATATTTGAATTCCTCAAGTATGATTCAGTTTAACATTTTATAGTACCTGAAAGTTCAAGGATGAACATCAAAAGTCTATTACACCAACACTGAGCGTAAATGAAAAAGTATCCTGTTGTGTATTTTAAACACACCAGAAACTTCAAACAACACTAAAACTGTCTCTGGATAGAGGACACTGCTGCACTATTTGATATTGCAAGGGTAAGATCCACAAGGACAGTGTTTTAAAATATTCAGAAAGATAGTATTTTAAAATGCTTGCATATGGGAAAAGGGTTATTTAATATCAATGTAATGAATTTCCTAGTTGCATTAACTGCAACATCATAAGGAGATACTGTATTCCTGTTCCTTAGCCGTGTTTAGGTGGAGCAATGGCACTTCCATACATCCATAAGCAAAGGCATAAAAAGGATCTATAATCTTTTGATGCATACATTTAATACATTTCAGTAAGGTTTATTACAGTTCTTGCTTCCTCTTCTCAGCATCACTCATGGTTAATGTACAGATATGCACAATGGTGAAAATCACTTAGCAGTTCCACTTCAAGAAAAGAGAAACAACGTTTTTAAGAATAAAACAACTATTTCTACTCTTATCGCACTTGAGCTGGTCAAGAGGTAAGCCATCTCAACATAATTTTGTAAATCTTAGAAAACATCCACTGACTCAATTATTTAATTATTTACTTTATTTTCCTGCAAATCCAAATTATAAGAGTGGTTTCTCTCTGTCAAGCAGATATGAAGGTAAAAGCAAATCATTCAGCTTTGTACCATGAAACAGTGTACACTGCCAGATTGGGAAAGTCTATTCTGGTGCTGCTATCAGCAGCACTGACAAATATAAACATGAAATTAAGGTTTGTGTTTATTCTTAACTAGTTGGTTATGCCATCCCACTGAAAAATCAAAACAAAAAACTAAAAGAAAACCCCCACAAAATAAAATCATATTTTCTTGGGGTCAAACACTGAAAATAGAGCTATACTTCTGACTGCAGCCATGTGCCAAAAGCAGAACTAGAAGCAAGCAACTAATTTTAAGATTCCTGAAATTACCTGCTGAATTATTTTTTCACAGAGGAAATCCAGTCTATACACTGTGATGCAGGACAGAGTTGCCTGTCTCCCTGTCTTGTAACACTGCATATTTTGATTAGCTGCAATGGCATAGAAGTATAGATTTTTAATATAATTTTATTGCCTTTTAGATAACTGATTTACTGACAGTGGTTTTAGGGCATTTTCTTCTTCAATTTTTATGACTACGCCTTTTTGATGACTATGCTTTTTAAATTTTTATTGGGGAATAATGGCTGAATTTCTAAAGGGACAGATGACAAATTCTATCAGGTACAATACTGAAAATGTTCATTTAGATGCAGAGGGAATTTAAAAAAAAAAAAAAAAAGAAAAACCAACCTAAAACCCAACAAAATCAAAACAAACAAACAAAAAAACACCCAATAAAACCATTGGTATGTTCTTGTCAACTCCCATCCTGCACTTAAAAAAGTCTTAAAGCAGGATCCAAAATAATACAAGCTGAGTATGTAAGCTCTTTTAAAGCAATCTAGGTTCCTTACAAAGTGAAAGTCTATTTCCTTACTCACTAACAAAGAGCAGAGAGTACAATACCAATTATTCTAGAAACAGTTACACTTCCTGCTGTGCCTTCATAAGCAGAACGATGAAAGAGCAACGTTGCAATAACACTGAGAGTAAATGGAAATCAGGATGCTAACGCTGCATGTGAGCACACAGGTCTGCTCAAAAGGCTCTGAAGGGCTGTAGGTATTGCTCTAACTGGTTATAAGTGGCTGCTTTTGAAAGCAGCTGTTCCTCATAGGTAGTCTCTTCCATTTCATTTGGCTATAGGTTGTCATCCTGCAGAGCATTAAGAGAGGGTTGCAGAAAAAGGAAAAATAAATGCTTTCTCCAGAAAGCTGGTGGTGGGGAGGAGTGAACCAGTTATAGCCAGCAGCAGCGTGCAGCTAGAAATCTTGTGTTTTTTATACCCTCATAAAATGCAGCCAGAGAAAAAGGGCAGAAAGGTGTAAAACAGATTTTCTTCATTACAACCATGAACATTATTACAATGCTATTGTTCTGAATTCTGTGATATTTTTTTGAGAAATATTTGCTTTCAAGGAAGATGATAAAAAAGAGGAATCGGTGATGCTTATTTCCTTACACTAAGAGTTTCATTAAAAGCAGGTAAATAAACTCAAAGCATACATATTCTTCAATAAAGACATGTTTTATAAAATAGCAAGAATTACCTGAAAAAAAACCCTAAAACAAATAAACAAGTACCTAAGTTGTATATTTTGTCCTAGTGTAAACTAGTGGCAGGAAGTGTACTTCAGCACACTCCATCCTGAACTTTAAGGAGGATACCTTATTTAGGGAAGCCCCAACACTCAATTTTACCTTTTCTTTTTGGTTTTGCTCTGAACAGTTTTACTAAAACTACTTTCAAAGGTATTCTCTTACTCCAACAAAAGTACCTGCAGTAAAACAATGCACACATCCCCATAAGCCTTTTATAAATTCTCAAATTATGCCGTATTTAATTTTATCTGAATTTTAACCATTTCCTTGTACCTAGTCCCACCTTACTATCTTACCATACCATCTTACTAATAATAACTTTTGAGATTCCAGCTTCTATATCTTAATTAAAACTGTGGATTTGTATTACAATATTGAGCTGTAATACAGGACTTTGAGAATTGAGGCATCTGGGAGAAGAAGAACTGATATGGTCCAACACTTGATTGTCCAAATACCTTGTGTTTTAGAAGTGAGGTGTTTTCTTTAGGCATGACAGATGACCCTCAGAAAATAGCATCACATCACACAGGCCTAATGAAAATAAAAACTATGAGGGGCATCATACAAGATCTGAAAGAAAGATTATTCTACCTGTATCGGACATGCTCGATTGTGTCATATGTCAGCTTGCTGCTGATATTCTGACTATGAGGGTTGCCTAGGAGACAAAAGAGATACAGAAGTTAATCATTAATCACAATTTTGCTATTAAATTTCTCTTTTATGAAAGTATTACACCAAGCCAGCCCAAAAGGTGATAAATAAAGATTCAATGTATACATCCTAGCAATGCCCTGAAGCTCCTTAGTAAGTCAAGAGAAAGGACATAGGCTAAAGCAATTATGACAGATCTGGAAACTTCAGCTGGAACTCTTATTTAGGCAGTTATTCTAAAAAGGAAATGCAACTGTATATGCACAAACATACTAGGAAAAACTACAGACAGAATGTACATTCATAAATGTATTTGCATAGTAGTTAAGAAGTAAGAGACAGCATCTGGAAATAATAGACATTAATGACACAATACCAGGATTAACCCTGGGAGTTTTAGAGTTTGAAATTCAAATAATTCATTAAAACATAAATTTTACTGCAAAATTAGTAACCACCTTAGACCAGCTCAGGATAAGCATGTATTAACAATTAAGATAGCACAAAATAAGGGCATGAATTGAGAAAAAAATTGAGAAAAAAAATCTTGAGCGAGAAAGATTACAGCAATATCCACATGGGCACAGAACATTTTCGTATTAGTAAATGGCACATTCTTTGGAATAAACAGTTTGGAAAGGGCGTAAGAAAAAAATTGGTATACAAATACACTTTTTGCAATATGCTGAAACATAAGCTACTCTATTTTTAAAATTTCAAAATCACCCTGCTGAAAGTAATTGAGTGAAGGTGTTGAAAATAATGAATTTTGAGCTCAAATCAAAAAACTAATACTTACACCTTTCACGTCTGATGTTGCATTTCTGTAATTTCCAATTCAAATATTCTCAATTTAAAAGTGAGAATATCTCTTACTTATGTTACTTTCCCTCACTGACACATGCAAAAGCTAAACTACAGTTCTTTTCGTCTGTGGATTATCACCAAGAAAATAAAAAAAGCTGCAAGTCAAACTCCCCTTTTAGTCACATCTGTGTTTGTTAAATTAACTCTTTTTGTACAGCAGTTGCTGTCTTCAGCGTATGAGACATAATTTTTACAAAAGAATGAGAACTGACCATATGAAAGCTCTCATTATCATTTTAGATGAAAGTACTAATGAAAAAATACAATTTGTTCTCCTATACCATTATAGGTACTGTGCAAATCTGCTCCAAACTGGCAGCACTAGTATTTCTACTCACAAGCAATTAATGCACAAATTATATTTTTTTTCTGCCACAGATGGTACTTATTATAAGGGTTGAGCTCAATGTTGTTTGAAATAACTAAGATCAGAGCATACATTTCACTTTACAATGTCTGTTTTGAGAAAACATTAATTTTAATATCACTGACATGCACTTCAATAGGAGATCTTAAATGTGATCAAATCAACATATTTTGTCATAAGAGAAAAAAAACCCAAATAACTTTATTCCTATCAAAAATAACATTATTTCACAGCAGAACCTAATTCCATGCTTTGGATCCTGGCCTTGCCAGCATTCAGGAAAAAAAATAGGGGAAAATGGCACATACAATGCCACATTGAAAATGAAACTACCCAAAACTCTCATGTGGTAGTTGGTAAGCACACAAGTGCGCAAGTGCTAGAGTAAACAGTTTTCTTGCAAAGCAGTGGTACCTAGTTCCCAAGCGAGGAATCCCTTTGTTCTGTGTATCAGAGAGCATAAGAAAGACACAAAACTAGCAAAAAGGACCCATGACCCACAGATAGTAAAACACAATAAGAAATTTTGATTACTTCAGTGGGACTACTCACACCATAATACTGTACAGTACATTTTTTTCTGTTTGAGCATGACTCATTCCAGTGTGAACTGTCTCACACAGCAACAATATTTCCTAAACAATGGATGCTGCTGCCTTTGTATAAAATCACACTCACTTACCTTGACTAGATAATAGTGTTAGAAAGAAACAAAAGGTTTAGGTAGTGGATTTGGGGATGAAGTGCTTACAGGTGGTGCTGAAGTGGCCCCATCCACAGCTGTAATAGCTAAACCTTCACCCAATACAGCATAATTTTGTAGATATTCTTACATTCTTATGTGCAAGACTGCTTTGGCAGTACCCATCCTTTTTCTGAGTATGCATCAAAGTCCAACAGTCTGAGAGAGGTATAGCACCTACTCCCTGCCTAAATTCACTTGGGATCTTTGAGCTAGGCTTTCTTCTAAATACAATACTTATACTGAGTCCTTATAAGCTCCCTGTGATGACTCCCACTGAGAAGGACAGTGGTTCTGGATTTTGGTCCTTGTGTAAGAAACTGAGTTTGTGTTTTGAGTGGAAAAAATACAAAGACAGGAAAAAAAGTGCTTATAACTACACTGTATTTCTTTATCCCAAGCACGGTGCCCTAACTCTGAGGCAACAGAGTCATGCTCCCTTTGATTTCTCTTCTTCACCAACACCAACACATCCTTGGCCAACAAAGAATGAAGTAACTCAGAGGGCCTATGCCTCCTTTGTAAAATCACTCATCTTCCAACTGCTCTATTGCAATGTTAAAAAACGTGCAGAAGGTCTCTTCCAAGAGGCAGAGTTTTAAACTATTTAGATGGAAAATAAAGAAGACTAACGGGAACACTGTTTTGCACTTACCATAAACGTTGTTTCTGAGGTCATCAGTAAAAGCTTTTAGTAGACTCTCTGGGAAAAGTGCTGAACCAGCATGGTCAAGGTAAGTAATCCCTAAAATACAAACAAAATTGCTAGAATCAATTTTTAAAATATTAAAGTCCATTTTCTCCCGCAGACTACATTCTGAAGTGTACCATTCAAACACCTCTTTTCATTCACTAGCAGAAAAAAAAAAAAAAAAGGATGAAACAATAGAAATCAAACAATATCATTACCCATGCATATTATTTAATTAAAACCAAAGAGGTCCTTCCTTTTTATGTTCGGATTACACATCCTTTAGAAGGGAAATATCTTTTTGTTTATCCTGTACAAGACTGAGCAAGCTGGTGTCTTCAGCCACAGTACCTTGCTACTCCTAGGCACTACTTACTATGAAAACTACTATTACCACAAAGATAATAATTATTATTAATAGCAACAGCTATAGTAATATTGTCCCCATGCTGGCAGGTGAAGCAATTCTCTCAAGAACTGACAAAGCCTAAATCATGCCTGAAGCCCAAAGACACGACTAGTATAATTTTTAATGTATTTAAATATGTCTCGCCACTCTGCTGCACTTAACATTCAATTCATTTTGAATATCTCCTTTTATATTATTAAGATATTTCAAAACTTTTAAATAAATGCTTATTGGAAATGAAGTTTTTTTCATGTTTGGCCATTTTAGATTTCTTAATCTTTAGCAATTATTCTTCCATTTCTCCAGTGTGTTTCATGCTCTTTATTAGTTTTTTCATTTCACTTACCTTAAGTATTTCAACCTATTTCAAATTTTAATAATGATGAATATGATTAAGATTAGAATTTATTAAGTATTTTAAAGGTCTTCACTTTCCACAGGGATTTAAAACTGAGTTAAGCTTTAAAGGAGAAACCTTGACACTTGGAAATACATCTTATTATATATTATGTTACGGTAGCAGTGATTCAGTGGGTAAAGCTGTGAGGCAGTGCTAATGATAAAACCAATCCAGACCCCCATCCTTTATTTTTAAAAGAGTCCTATCCTGCCTTAAGATTCCCCCACTTAGAGTGCCCTAGCAAAAGCAGAATTTCTAATGATGGCTTGAAGTCAACTGAGTGTTTTTGAGGTGTTTCCAAGGATGGAGTGTGAGTCAATTTTTTAGCTGTACAGGCTTTTTAGGTTTTTTGTGGTGGTTGTGTTTTTTTTCTTTTTTGGTGTGTGGAGTTTTTTTTGTTGTTGTTTTGGTTTTTGTTTTGGTTGGTTGGTTTGTTTGTTTGTTTTGTTTTTATTCTGGAAAGTCTTACAAGAGAGATGCAGCACAAACACGAACACAGTGGGTCAAAACGCATACAGGGGTCGGTCCTGCTTAGTTTCTGACAGCTGCTTGGATCACCACTGAAATGCAGGGGCTTTGGAGAGAGCGAGGGGCACGCTGCCTTTACGGTAGGACACAGCCAGGCCCTTCCCAGGACTGTGGCCTGGCTTTGGTCAGCAAAATGACAGCAGCTGTCCCTCCATCAGGCCACACGCTGCTCATCAGGACTTGCAGCTTGGCACCAAAAGCCTCTGCCCTGAGCTGGGGCTGAAGTGTGGAGTAACAGCCACAACCACCAACACAAGTTGTTATGGTCAAGGCAATAAACGGCCCATGGTCACTGGCTACAGCTGGGAGAGCTGGGAAGGGCCAGACTAGAACTAAGAACAGGAAGAGGCAGCCCAGAGCCAGGCACCAGCAGAAGGATTGCTGTCCTGGAGGTGATATCCTGGCCAACGCTCTCCCAACAAAGCTCACACAGAGGTGCCTTTTGGCTCGTTAGCTTTCACGGGCACCAGGAGCACAGACAAGAGATGCTCCTCTGGGTGCTGAGAGCTTCTGTCTTTAGACCCTTCCAGTCCTAAGGAGGATGACAGCACTGAAGTGATTACAGAACCGTAGAGCACAAGGGAAAACCAGGCAACCACCTGAGGCTCCTCAAACCATCCAACGACAAGGGGACGGGCGCTTCCCATTCTGACCAACACCCCTGTGAGGCAATGTGGGCCAAAAGATCTCTAGGTAAAGGCCCCCAAGTGGTTTTTCAAATCTGATTCCTTACATAGCTCATGATGAAGAACAACACGGTGGTTCTGTGAAATGCAAATTAAAAAAAAAAAAAAAAAAAACAGCCAGTGATTTTTAAAGTCCTCCTCTGGGTATAATACTTCAGAAATCTGTGAGGAAATTTGGCTGAGGAAGGAAAAATTATTAATTCTTAAACTTTTATTTTATGTTTAATGCTGCTGTTTAATTGAAAACAGAGAACAGCATTTAATACTCTCTCTCTACTGCCCAAAAATGAAATGGGCTCTTTAATCATTTGAGACTGCACTGAAGCAAATATCTTCATTGCTATTGCACTTTATGCACTTTTAGCTTTTCCTTGCTGTCCTATTTCAACAAAATTGTATTTTTAAAGGAAAGAAAAAAAAAAGTGGCACATGTATAACACCACCAAAAAGCATATTAATAACTTCCATTGTGCTTTTCCCCTGGTTTAATAACATTTTCTATTTTATCTTTATTGAATGCATATTAACCAAAGAAATTTTTCAGTATATAGAGAACAATACAGTTCCCCCTTTCACTGTGGTATTTAGTATAAAGGCTGTCAGCACTATGAAATTATACTGTTTACAGGAAGTAACAGAAGAAAGATAATATAATATGATCAACAAAAAGAGAATTAAAATGCAATATCCATCAGCACATGGTTTCATTGCTCAGGGAAAAAGTAAAATTAACTTTTAGTTTAATTTACATACTATTATGTTTGGAGTGTGTAACTGACTTCACTGATCTAATAATATACCAACTATTTGATAAAATCCTTTTCAGAAGTAGGATTTTTTTTAAAGGAATACCGAAAACCATTCAGTGTGTCAGCATTAGTTATGAAAAGTTATTCAGCCAGAGTAATGGTTCAAAAGCTGCAATATTGATATAAATAGATTAATTTTACATGGGGAACTATTTGGATACCAACACAGGCCAGTCTGTCCTGCTGAAGAAAGTCCCAGCCCAGTTCTTTGATCTTCTTATGTGCTACAAATCACTCTTAACAAAACATCCGCCATGCCCAAATGCCTACCTTGGCTCTTTGTAAAACTTCATGAGTGTAACTGTACATATAGCATCAGAAATGCCACGGAACCATTCAGTTTAACTGAACATTTCTATTTCTTAAATGTAAAAAAGATAATTTAATGTGGAGCTTTTCAACATTACAGTTTAAGCCCAAGTGACGACACTCAACCGCACAAAGTCTGACAATTTGCAAACATACAAGGCAAAAAGAAACTACCAGGTTAATCTTTGGGAGCCAATATATCTGCTTCTTGACAAAAGCACACTTTCCTAAAATGTGACTTCACCTGACATAGAAGAAATTTAAAGACATCATTTGATGAACTGAGTGTAGAACAAGGCAGTTACATCTTCACGAAACCTTTTAGTAACTATTAAGTTATGCATATGTCTACCACCCAGAGGATGTTCTAGAGGGGAAGGAGCATGAGAGACCATGGAGGCACTCCCTAAAATGGCCCAGTGGCACATGGAGACTATGCTTTCTCATCCTTCAAAACCCTTGCTGAGTGACCCAGTTCCTATATGGCTTACTACTTTTATTACTACTTTGGTATTATGTTATTTTTTCTTTTAGTCCTTGAAATTGTTCTTGGTGTTACGCATTTCTGAACTTCGACTTCCAAAAATAACCAATTTACCTATATACCATGTGGCTGCTCTATGTTCACCTCCTTTACCTTTTGTTATCCTGTGATTCTATCACAGTCACCAAAACAAGCCAACCTGCTCTGTGGCTTCACAGATTATTTCTCACAGCCCTGGAACTTCAAAATTCCTTCACTCCAGCTGATTACAGGCTGCCAGTTATATTGCCAAAAGTCTCATAATGAAGAATGAAATGTGTAGTTACAAGGCAGCAACTCTACAGAGTCATGAATTTTGAATGGTGGATTTAATTGCAATTCAGTAGGATTATCTACACAATATTACATGGGAAGTAATGCCCTGGGGAGACAGTATATATCTTAAGTACAGCAATATTAGCAAAACCAATATGAAATAGATTATATGAAAACAAGCTGAAGGCAGAATAAAGCATTATCTGTCAAAAGATAAAGATGAGATTTTCATACATGGAAACAAAAGAAGGAGAAAAAACAAAATGGGGAGGAGAGGGCTCTACCGAGGTCATAGAAAAGTATGATATAATTTGGATACAGTGAGGTTTTAACAGGTAATTTCACATCAGCTACCTCAGATTCATGGAATCATAGGATGGCCTGGGTTGGAAAGGATCCAGATCATCTACTTCCCACGCCCTTACCATAGGCAGGAACACCTGCCACTAGACCAGGTTTCTCCAATCCTATCCAACCTGTCCTTGAACACTTCCAGGGATGGGATATCCACAACTTCTCTGTGTTCCACTGCCTCATCACCCTCACAATAAAGAATTTCTTCCTAATATCTAGAGTAAAGTTATTCTTTTCCAGTTTGAAGCCATTCTCCCTTGTCCTGTTGCTACACGCCCTTGTAGAAAGTCCCTCTCTACCTTTCCTGTAAGCTCCCTTCAGGTGCTGGAAGGCCATAATTCAGTCACCCCAAAGCCTTCTCATTTCCAGATGGAACAAACTCAATTCTCTCAGCCTTTCCTCATAGGAGAGGTGCTCCATCCCTCTGACAGTCTTGGTGGCCCTCCTCTGGACTCACTCCAATAGATCAGTGTCTTTTCTTTGCTGAGGACTCCAGAGATGGATGCAGCATTCCAGGTAGGGTCTCAGAGAGTGGAGCAGAAGGGCAGAATTACCTCCCTCAACCTGCTGGCCACACTGCTTTTGATGAATCCCAGGATATGGCTGGCTTTCTAGGCTGCAAATGCACATTGCTGGCTCATGTTGAGCCTCCAGGTAATTAATCCAAGCCAGATACTCTTTAGAGCCAACTCCCTCTTTCCAGTGACTGCATTAGAACTTAGCTCCCCCAAGAGATGCTCCTAAATTAAATAGCAAAAGT